GAGCCAGTCAGGATCAAACTTCCTGGCAGTGGGCAGAGTCAGCCTGCAATAAGGCACTCTAACCACTGCGCCACCAGGGCTCCTTGAGGTTAAGAGGTTAAGGGAATCGGGGTTCCTGTGTTAACTCGGTTTATTGGAAGCCGGCTAGGAAGGTCACAAATAGTGATTGCGTGACCCTAGGATGCTACAACCGTTGTAAATACAGGCCGGTTTTAACAGCAGTTTCCAAGCGCTTGAATTTTGATCCGGCGCCCGTGAAGGATGCTATGAGGTTTGTAAGTGTGAGGACCAAGCCATCATTCACTTTTTTAAGCGCCGTTGTCACTCTGAACGGTCGCTAAACGAACAGTCCTAAGTCAGGGAACTACCAGGAATTCGAAAAACAAACTAGCGGAGAATCCAGTGTTAAAATCAACCCTTTGTGTTTCCTTGGAGAGAAGCCGAGCCTTGTGGACGTCGGGCTGATGGGGCAAGGAAGGTCATAAAACGAGGACAAGGCTCACTTAACGACTGTCTGGCTTCGCCCTGGGAAATTTGGGGCTCCATTGCGGTCGTAAGCCGAGGACTTACCTGTGTTCTCTGTTCTACTGCTGGATGACTCGGAGGTGATTCCGAAAGGTGGCACAAGGGGGCGCTCCTCACCAGAGAAAAACTAATTAAAAAGCTCTGACTTTCCCCCCCCCACCCGTTGTTAAGCGAGTCACTGCAATTTTTCAGTTAGTCACGCGGTTGTTGAGTGAATCCGGCTTCCCCCACGGACTTGGCTGGTCAGAAGGTCACAAAAAGTGATCACATGTCGCCGGGAGACCGCCGCCGTCATAAATGCGAGTCAAGTGCCTGGATTTGGGTCACGTGACCACGGGGACGGTGCAACGGTCGTAAGTGTGTGAAAAACGGTGCTGAGTCACTTTTTTTTTCTGTGCCGGTGTAACTTCAAATGGCCACTAAACAAACGGTCGTAAATAGAGGACTACGCTGTATTGTGGGTGGAAAAACCGGACGTCTCCGTTAAGAGAAGAATCCGGATCTTCACAGCCTCCCCCAAGGTCACACGATCAAAATTCGGACACACGGCAACCGGCGTGTATTTATGACGGCCGCAGCATCCCCGGGGTCACGTGATTGTGTTTGCGATCTTCCCAGCCAACGTCCAAGAAACAAAGTCAATTGGGGAAGCCAGATTCGCTTAGCAACCTTTTCCGTTTCACTTAACGACTGCACTAACAACGACCCTGGCAAAACAGGTTGTTAAATCAGATGGGATTCATTTAACAACGACATCACTTAGTGACACAACCTGGTTGACTTCTCTGAGCCGGGAAGAATAAGCAGGAGCGGGCCTGGTTACTACGTGGATAGGAGACCACCAGGAGATTCCAGCGGAAAGTCAAATAACGTAACAGGAGAAGAAGAAGAAGAAAAAATCACGGTTCTGTCCAGTGAATTGCTCGGAATTGCACGTTATTTAGGGAAGTTTTGTCATATCTTTACCGGCTCTGCACAAGACCTGAAATATTTTTATATAATAATAATAATAATAATAATAATAATAATAATAATAATAATAATAATAATAATAATAATAATAATAGTAGTAGTAGTAGTAGTAGTAGTAGTAGTAGTAGTAGTAGTAGTAGTAGTAGTAGTAGTAGTAGTAAAGTTAGAAGGGACCTTGGAGGTCATCTAGTCCAACCCCCTGCTCAGGGAGGAAACCCTATACCATTTTGGACAAACGGCTGTCCAGTCTCTTCTTAAAAACCTCCAGTGTTGGAGCATTCACCGCTTCTGGAGGCAAGGAGTTCCACTGGTTAATTGTTCTCACTGTCAGGAAATTTCTCCTTAGTTCTAGGTTGCTTCTCTCCTTGATTAGTTTCCATCCGTTGCTTCTTGTCCTGCCTTCAGGTGCTTTGGAGAATAGCTTGACTCCCTCTTCTTTGGGGCAGCCCCTGAGATACTGGAACACTGCTATCATGTCCCCCCTCGTCCTTCTCTTAGTTAAACTAGACATACCCAATTCCAGCAACCGTTCCTTGTATGTTTCAGCCTCCAGTCCCCTGATCATCTTTGTTGCTCTTCTCTGCACTCTTTCTATTTATTTATTTATTTATTTATTTATTTAGAGAATTTATAGGGCCGCCCTCCCACTTTCAGTGACGGTAGGCAGTTTTACCAAAATTATCACTTTTCTTGGGACAGCCAAGCCAAGCGATTCCTTCTAATGATATGTCCCTGACTTTATGGGGATACAGGAAGTCCTTGATTTATGACTACAACTGGGATCAGAACATCTGACACTAGGTGATACAGTCATTAAGCATTTTAGGGGTTTTTTTTGCCAAGTCATTAAGCGAACCATGCCGTCGTTAAGTGCCCCAGGCTTCCCCCGTTGACTTTGCTTTTTGGAAGACTCCCGGGAAGATCACAAATGGGGATCAGATGACCACGGGATGCTGCAATTGCTAGCACTTTACAAGGCCTTGGTAAGGCCACACTTGGAATACGGCATCCAGTTTTGGTCACCACGATGTAAAAAAGATGCTGAGACTCTAGAAAGAGTACAGAGAAGAGCAACAAAGATGATTAGGGGACTGGAGGCTAAAACATACAAGGAACGGTTGCTGGAATTGGGTCTGTCTAGTTTAATGAAGAGAAGGACGAGGGGGGACATGATAGCAGTCTTCCAGTATCTCAGGGGCTGCCCCAAAGAAGAGGGAGTCAAGCTATTCTCCAAAGCGCCTGAAGGCAGGACAAGAAGCAACAGATGGAAACTGATCAAGGAGAGAAGCAACCTGGAACTAAGGAGAAACTTCCTGACAGTGAGAACAATTAACCAGTGGAACAACCTGCCTCCAGAAGCAGTGAATGCTCCAACACTGGAAGTTTTTAAGAAGAGACTGGACAGCCATTTGTCCGAAATGGTATAGGGTTTCCTGCCTGAGCAGGGGGTTGGACTAGATCCTTTCAACATTATTATTATTAAAACCAGATTCACTTAACAACCGTGTGACTTACTTAACAATGGTAGGATTCACTTAACAACTGTATTGTTATTGTTATTGTTGTTGTTGTTGTTGTTATTATTATTATTATTATTATTATTATTATTATTTACATGCTAGTTGCCAAGGACCTGCATTGCAATCACGTGACCATGAGAACACAGCAACAGATGTAAGAATGAGGACCAGTCACAAGTTACTTTTTTCAATGGGAACACCTCCCCTCTCTTCTAGGACTGATGATGTTACCTAGTCGGGTAATGAAATGTCCACGTGAAAATAACCATGCTCAGAGAGCACCAAGGACCCCACAGTCCTCCTGTTCTTCTTCGTTTTCTTCCTCCTCCTCCTCCTCCTCCTTCTTCACTCTTCAGCACCGCTTCCTTCTATTACTGATGATGTTACCTAGCTGGGTAATGAAACGTCTGCAAAAGCCACTAAGCTCAGAGAGCACCAAGGACCCCACAGTCACCATTGTCCTCTTCCTCCCCCGCTCCTCTTTCTGCTCTTTATCCTGCTGCTTCTCTTTCCCCTCCTCTTTGTCTTCCTTCTCCTCCACTCCACACCCCCTTCAGAACTGATGACGTTACCTAGTTGGGTCATGAAATGTCTTCAAGGAAACCACCCAGCTCAGAGAGCATCAAGGACCCCACAGTCCTCCTCCTCCTCCTCCTCCTCATCATCATCATCCTCATCCTCATCCTCATCCTCATCCTCATCATCATCATCATCATCATCATCATCATCATCATCATCATCCCTTCTAGCACTAATGACATTACCTAGTTGGGTCATGAAATGTTTGCAAGGGAACCACCAAGCTCAGAAAGCACCAAGGACCCCACAGTCCTCCTTCTCCTCCTCCTTTCTTCTAGCCCTGATGATGTTACCTAGTTGGGTCATGAAACGTCCGCAAGGAAACCACCCAGCTCAGAGAGCACCAAGCACCCCACGGATTAAACTTCGGTGGACATCCTTCGAAGAAGGCGGCGTGGGGTGGGGGGGAGAGAACCGGGCTCCCTCTGGTACAAAGCCTGGCTCAAATTGGGCTGCGGGAAGGGGCGCTCCAGAGTACCCCCTTGCCCCACCCGGCCAGAGGGGTCCCTGCCTCCCTCCTGCGCCCTCCAGGCACCGACGGCCGACAGCGCTCCGCAGCCAGCTGCCTGCCGGAGAGCTGGCGGAGGCGGGAGGAGGGAGGAAGAGGAGGAGGAGGAGTCTCCTCCTCCTCCTCCTCCTCCTCGTGTGCTCAGAGGCCCCGGGGACGCCGGCCAACTTTGCAAAGAGCACCAGGTCGGGGAAGGCAGCGCAGCGCGGCGCAGCGAGGCGCAGCGACTGGATAGCGGGCGGGAGCCCCGCGCCTCCCCGAGCGATGGGCGCCTAGGCTGGGCGGCGGCAACAGCAGGCATAGCACCATGGCCATCAACGCGGACGCACAGCTGGGGAAGGCGCTGGCCGGCGCCCCCCCGCCGGCGCCCCCGGCCTCCTCTTCCTCCTTCTCCTCCTCGCAGGAGACGGAGCAGCTGCTGCAGGACGGCCCGTCGCCCCCCAAGCCCTGCCCGGACGAGGACGGGGTGGCGGGGGCGGCTGCCGTCGGAGAGGCGGCGATGGAGCCCAACGGGCACGGCCTGCTCTACCGGTCGGGCTCGGAGGGCCCGCTGGAGGCTACCTCGCTCTCCCCGTCGCGGCTCAGCCTGGGGCGCGCCTCGTCCACCGCCACCACCTCCAACCTGCCCGAAGCCGGACGCTCGCCGGACTACCTGCCGCTGGCCATCCTCTCCTGCTTTTGCCCCATCTGGCCGGTCAACATCCTGGCCTTGGTCTTCTCCATCATGGTAAGGGGAGATTTAAACCTTTACATCTTCATGATTTGAATTTTTTTTCTCCCCCCCTCCCCCCGAGGTTTTATTCCGGGGGGGAGGGCTCTGATTTAGGGCGAGAGGGGCGGCCTAGGAATTCCAGAACGGGTGCAGAAAGATGCTCAGCGCAAGCGGCGCGCCCAAAGCGCGCGGGCCACCGCCCCGCCAGCGCCTCTCCTGGCGTGCGCCCTGGGCGCATCGGAGCCGCCGCTGCTCTTCCCGGGATCCGGACAGGTGGAGGGCAGACAGGTGGGGCCTGTGAGTGTTGGATGGGGTCAGGAAGAGGTCCCTCTGACGGGGCCCGCGGAGAGCCCCCTCCCAACCGCGACCCTTTCGGAGCAGGCTCGGCTTGGACAGGGGGGTACCTCTCCGCCTCTCCAAACCTTCCCAAAAGCGCAGCGTAAAGTCGGCAGGTTATAAAGCAGGCTGGAGATCCAGCTAGGAGCGGCCACGAAATCCGGGTGTCGTGTGTGTGTGTGTGTGTGTGTGTGTGTGTGTGTGTGTGGGAGAGGAAGAATCGATCCTTCTTTAAACTAACCTAGGCGAGGCAGTTTTTTAAAGTGCAAGGACAGCAAAGTTTTCCCTAACGCAGCCAGCGCTGGTGGGACTCAAAGGGGGCGGCCCGGTTAGGGCCCCTCCGTTTTAGGCCAAGCTTTTTAGAATAATAGAGAACCGGAAAGTGAGGTTCTTTTCAAAGGCTTGGAGGTGAAACGTCTCTTTAAAAATGCCCAACTTCTTCCCAGCAGGAGAAGCGTTTCATTCTGCTGGGAAGAAATAAAAGAAGGGGTTTGGCTTTTATTCTGGAGAAATTTGATGTGCTTCCTTCCATTGATTGATTTCAAGGAATGTGATAGATAACTTCCATTCCTGCCCATTTTGTGGTTTAGACTGAGAGAGAGGGGGGAGGGAGGGGGAGAGAGAGAGAGGGAGAGGGAGAGGGGGAGGGGGAGGGAGGGAGAGAAAGAGAGAGGGAGAGGGAGAGAGAAGGAGAGAGAAGCAGAGAGAGAGAAGCAGAAAGAAGGAGAGAGAGAGAGAGCAGGAGAGAGAGAGGAGAGAGGAGAGAGAGAGAGAAGGAGGGAGAGAGGAGAGAGAGAGAAGGAGAGAGAGAGAGAGAGAGGGAGGGAGGGAGAGAGAGAGGAGAGAGAGAGAAGGAGAGAGAGAGGAGAGACAGAGAGAGAGAGAGAGAGAGAGGGAGGGAGGGAGAGAGGAGAGAGAGAGAAGCAGAGAGAAAGAGAGAGAGAGAGAGAAGGAGAGAGAGAAGGAGAGAGGAGAGAGAGAGGAGAGAGAGAGGAGAGAAGCAGAGAGGAGAGAGAGAGAAGGAGAGAAAAGGAGAAAGAGAGAAGGAGAGAGAGAGGAGAGAGAGAAGGAGAGAGGAGACATAGGGAGAGAGGAGAAGGAGAGAGAGGAGAGAGAGAGAAAAGGAGAGAGAGACAGAAGGAGAGAGAGAGAGAGAGAGAAGGAGAGAGAGAAGACAGAGAGAGAGGAGAAGAAGAGAGGAGGAGAGAGGAGAGAGAAAGAGAAGGAGAGAGAGAGGAGAGAGAGAGAGAAGGAGAGAGAGAAGGAGAGAGAGAAGGAGAGAGAGAGACACACACAGAGAGAGAGAGACAGAGAGAGAAAAAGAGAAAGAGAGAGAAAGATAAGGAGACAGAGAGAGAGAGAGAGAATTAACTTTGCTTTAGATCTGCCCAGCTGTGTACTTCACTTCTTGGGGTGGGGGGGCTCAGGGGGGGCTCTATCCCACCCCAAAAAAAAGATCTACAGCCAGGAATTTTGTAGTGAGGACAGAATTAGAAAACCTCTCTTAAAACTGAGGCAGTTGGATTCCAGAACTTCTGGTCTTCCCCCAGCAAATTTAACCAGGTCGGTGAAAGAATCCGTGTCGAACCACGATTTGCTTTTTGTGGCTTGTGGGGTTCTGCACATCTGGCCTGTTTCTGTGGTTTGTCCTTCAGCAACCTTGCACGAATCCTGGAAAACGGGTCAAGTCATGAGTCGGGTGAAACATGTTGCGTGAACGAAGCGGTTAACGATGAGGTCCTGTGGAAAATCCTCAGGCGCCTTCCCGAGCATGTGCCGAGTGCTTTTTCTGGTTCAGCCATCCGCTGCACCCCTCAATCTGTTTTCTTTCCTTTGCTAGATAGCAGGCAGGACTCAGAGGCAATACTGTCGTACGGAAAAGAAGGGGGGGGGCAGTTGTCTTGCTCTTTGTCACCCTGGAGGGCAGGATCCGAACCAGCAACTTGGAGTAGATTTGGGTTATCAATAAAGGAGAATATTTGTAGCGCAAGGTTGAAAGGAGGGGTCCTGGGTGCTCTTTTGAGCTTTGTGGTTTTCTTGCAAACGTTTCATGACCCAAACTTGGTAACATCATCAGTGCTAGAACTGTGTGGTGGTGGTGGTGGTGGTGGTGGAGGAGGAGGAGGAGGAGG